TCTATGCTCACATCCCTGTTTGGCAGTTCAACTATTATTAGTTTCAAAGAAAACTGAGACTCTATGCACTCAGCTCCTGCTCTCATCAAGGACAGCTTTGTGGTTGTCTGAGCTGTGGGTTGTCTGGGCTGAGACATGAGGCTGGGTGGCAGGGCAGCACAGATGTTCCAGCCCAGGCCCCAGGGCCAGCCCCGGGCTGGTTACATGTGAGGCAACATCACGATGTGCTCCTGGGACACCCGACAGATATTTTTTGGAACTGGCACCAAACTCTTCGTGGAGCCCCGTGAGTTAATGTTTTTTTTCACTATATTTCTAGAGATAATTTGAGTCCTAGGTCTGGGGCTACCTTCTGGTTTCTGTTACAAATTATAACCAGTGGGTGAAATTTTAACTAGGAGATGAAGTAGTGCAGATATGATGTGGGCCAGAGTGAAGACATGAGGCTGGGTCCCTGAAGAAGCTCTGTAACTGCTTTATTTTTTAAATACATATGTGTGTGTGTGTGTGTGTGTGTGTGTGTGTGTACACACACACACACATATATATATAAGTGGGAGCTATAGTTTTAAAATACACATATAATATATACTAAATGTATACATTTTTAAAAGCTAATAAATTAATAATTAATTAAAGCTAGAGTTTATAGAGAGAGAGTTTTTTATATATGCAAAGCTCCCACTTATTTCTGAAATCTTCAGAACAGCCCAGAAAACACAAAGAAATCTAGAAGAACGACACATCGTTGGGGCATTCAGGTGCAGGGGGGGGCAGTGGCAGGGATACTTTGGCCCAAATTCCCCAGGAAGCTGCTTCATCCTTCCACATGCCTTTGGTTAAACTGACTAGCACACATGCCTCATTGCAAGCTCAAAACAGATGTCTTGCAGCCTGAAAGATTTCGGACAGAGGTGGTTAGCCTGGTCAGAGTAATCAGGCAGAGCAAACATTTATTTCAGGGTTCAAGTTAAATCCCATAGTGGCAGAAAGTCTTGAAATCCTGAGTGACATTTATTATCATTCTTGCAATTCTTTCTGGACCAGCAGGATTCTCTATGTGACTCTAAAACATAGATGATTCTAGGTTTATACATTGAGAAAGACTGTTCAGGAGGAGTATACACTTCTTTTTGTGTTGTTTACCAGCGCATAACCTCAGCATTGTATTGGTATTCATAAAAAGAGAAAGTTTGAAAATAAAATAACAACTGTTCAAACAAATAGCATTTGAAACCTATTTTCTGATGTAATTACATCATGGACCAAAAAGAAAGACGGGAAATTCTCTAAAGAAAAACAATTAAATCTTTAATTCTTGGACTACAATACTGCAAACTTTATCCAACTTCAAATTTGGGTTTAATTCAAATAAAAGTAGACTAGGATATGCATTGCAACTATATTGAGTGTATCCCAGTATTTTTAACATCCCATTCAATCAGATAGACTTTTCTCTGGTCACCATGATGCCAAAGAATGGATTAGATTAAAATACACTTTTTTCAAACAATTATATTGAACATAAAGACATGAATTTGGAAACAGGGTCTGAGAAAAATGTTTTATCACATCAGTGTATTATGAAGTATCTGAAATACAGACTCAAAGATTCAGAGTTCAATATCATAAGTGCGTGACCTTTTCAGACATCTGTCTTGTCAGCTATATCACGTTGTTCAAATTATTTAAACCCAGACTCCACAAACCAAAGTGATCATTGACAACTGCCTGATGAATTTAGATTTCTTAAATCCCAACAAGCCTTAATTATCCAACTAAATCGAACTAGGATGAGGTCATACTCTTACATAACCAAGGAGATAGGGTTTGGTTGTTTTTTTACGAACAGCTTTCCTTTCTAACTCATAACTCCCTTGAAAACCAGCTGGAATATGCCTCAAACCAATGTCAGGATAGTGAGCAAGAAATGTTGCAGTTCTGGAGAGGTGAGTGAGAAGGCGTGTGGTTTCCAGCCGTGAACGCTGGGGCTATCAGTTTCTGTTATCAGTGGCTTCAGCTATGAGAGTAAACAAAACAATAAAGGTTTTCTCACACAGATTGAAAGCAGATTCCAGGAAAGCTTTGAAAAATTCCCATTCTTCCTCTTGTCTAGAGCTAATGACAAAAATAAAAGGAACCAGATTCTTAGGAACGAGTTTCCTGCCCTGAGTGACTGAACAGCATCAGTCTTTTAGCTGAGCTTCATGGTGGAGAAATGATGGAGAGTTGTGATGGCCATGATGAGGGGCTTCTCTGAACAGTTGATTCCCAGGAAAGAAAGCCCTGATCGGCCATGGTCCATTCCACAGTGGTGACCAGCAGCAACTTCCTGACTAACAATCACTCCCTCTCAACCAGATGTAACCATGAGCTCACAGCTGAAGCCCAAGTCCAGACACAGGGTAGAGCATTAGAAACATCATCTATTTTACCTTTATGCATTCATTATCAAGACGTTTTGTTTAGCGATACCTGGTGTCTTGATTGTAAACTCTAGTAGAAAAAAATAACACTGGAATTCAACATATTTTTATTTGATATTGAGAAGCCAAATTCACCTAAGTTTTAATTACAATGAGCCTTATTCATGGAAGAAATTAAGATTTAAAATGAGAATTAAGCTTAAGATTAGAAACATATTGAGATCGCCATTCACAGGTTGTTTGTCTTTCCCGATTTCAGGGATTAGCAGGACTTTTCTTTAGCAGTTATTTGAAGATGGTCTAAGAATCCAAGTCTCCATGGACACAAAATTTATCACAATTCAGAAACTTCTATAAGGCACAGTGGGGGAGAGTCATTTCTATCGATCTCAAAACTTTAAGACTTTCTGTTATAATGAGAGAAAAAGATACATACACAGAGTAGCAGGCAGATTACAGTCCAAGGTAAGGCATGAAAGAAGAGGAGGCCAGGAGGGGACCCAGTTACTACTCTTCTTAGAATAAAACAAGAACACATGGACTTAAGCTGGTTTGGTGTCCATAAAAACTCCCTGAAAATGATCATTGTCTTTGTCTGGTTAAAAGCTCAAAGGAAACTATACAGTAGTCAGTCCCTTACAAAAGAATAAGTATTCCCTCAAAAGCAGAGAGTTGTACCATTTAACTTCAGCAGGTCCCTTCCAGTCCATAAAATGAGGATGACACCCTGTAGTGGCCACAATACCGCCATTCTCAGAACATATGAACCAGCTATGCAGTCCTTCACAGCACCTTGATTCTTTCATTG